ATGGCAGTGGCTTATCCACGACTTGCAGGAGCCGGACAGCCCCGTTTAACGTCCCCCGTGGCACAGGGACACGGCACAGCTCCGACACACGGATGACAGCGAGACATCTCCTCCGTGGGCCCACCCCGGCGGGCAATGCTTTCCCTGAAGGCTTGGGGAAACTGAGGCACGGGGCAGTTGAAGTGACACGGCCGAGGTCATGCAGCACGTCGGTGGCAGAGGGATCCCAGTGCCTCAATCCCTCCGTGTTACACCCAACCCGGGCGCTGAGGCTTTGAGATGGAGCCGAGCCGATGCCTCCAGCTGGGCCCACCCAACCCAGGCGCTGAGGCTTTGAGACGGAGCCGAGCCGATGCCTCCAGCTGGGCCGATGGAGATGCCTCCTTATTCCCCCCCTCAGCATCTTTCTCTGGCCTCGTTCCCAGCAGGATTCGGCCCAAATCCCACCTCCAAAGGGTGGCCAGCCCCTTCTCCCAACCCCGGCTCTCCCCAGACACAGACGCAGAGCTCGCCGACACACCAAGACCACCCTGCGGTGACGGCCACCAGCCGAGCAACAGAGACGGGGACCAAGGCAGACAGGTGCCGTGCCCACGGCGCCCGCGTGTGCCCACCGACGGAGACACGCGGCTGTCAAGCTGCTCCATGCAGGTGAGCCCAAGCTCCCACAGCCCGGCACGGATTTGCCGGGCAGAGGCAAAGCCTCGGCATCTCACCTGGTGATGATCCGGCTTTCCTGGGTCCCAAGCAGGTCCGACGGTAGACCTGGCTGCAATCCTTCTCGAAGGTCTCCTGGTTCTGAAGGAGTTGGTTGATGTCCTGGAAGAATTGCTTCACCAGCACCAGCATCTCATAGGGGGAGGTGGTGAACTCCTCAAAGCACATCTGCGAGAGCTGGAGGAAGAACCCAGGCTCAGCATCGGCTCCGTGACCGTGCAGGGCACCCGGTGTCACCACCCTGGGGTACCACACTGCACCCAGGGTAGGGTTTGACCCCCACCATGGCTCCCTGTATCCATGCACACCCCATCTCTGCCCCATTCAAGGTCCTGCCCACGCACCCACCCCAGGATACTCTGGACACCCCATTTCACCCAAGGATGAGGACTCAGACCCACACCCCTGCAGATCTGGCACCCCACGAGGCACGAGACATCGTACCCTTCTCTCCTCATCGTCCTCCTCCCTGATGCAGGGGTCGACGTTCTCATCGATGCGGCTGTACATCCTGCGCACCGTCTGCATCTTCTTGGCGTTGGACGAGTTCTCCTTGAACTCCGTTTGCTCCAGGATCTTGCCCAGCAGAGGAAAAGCAGCTTTCACGTAGCAGACGGAGTCATTCTGCGAGGAGAAAGACAACGCCCCCCGCCCCAAAAAAAAGTGAGACTCTGCCAGGGGGAAACTGAGGCACAGAGCCACAAGATGCTTTTCTACAGTCCCACAAGCTGGGGCTCAACAACCACCTGGCCAGGCAGGATGAGTCCCTCCTGGGCTGCATCCCACAAAGGGGGACAGAAAAGGGGAGATTGGGGACCCCCCATTGGGGACCCCCCCACCCCCATGCGCCAGCCAGCCCTGGTCCCTGTCCCCTGGTGCCCAGCAAGGAGCCACTCACCAACTGCATCTTATTGATGAACTTGAAGGAGACCCTGCCCGGGTGCTGCATCTGGGTGTCAGCCTGGAAGGACAGAGCAGGATGTGTCACCCACGGGGACAGCACTGCGGAGCCGACATGGGTGCTGGAGCCAAGCAGCCCCAAGATGTGCCATGCCCTGGGCACAAAGAGGTACCTTAGCCCCCCTAAATCCACAGGGCTTGTGGGGGGGGGATTGTTCAGCTCCTGGGGGGGGGATTGTTCAGCTCCCACCCCTGCTTCATCCCACACCATCCTCCTCCTCGCACAGACACATCCCTAAGATCAAACCTCTGGCACGAGTGAGCCCAGCATCCCCATTCCCATAAAGGACAGCACACTCCCCATACCAGGGACAACTGCCTCCCCCCTGCCTCTCTTCCTCCTCCTCCTCCTCTTCCTCTCAGCACCACAGCAGAGCCCAGCCCTGCTTGATCCTCCCAGGGTCTCCCCTGCACCGCTCGCTCCGCTAAAGCCAGGGCTACAAAAAAAGCATCCTGCTACGGAGGAG